AGGGAGGGAGGGAGGGAGGGAGGGAGGGAGGGAGAGAGGGAGAGAGGGAGAGAGGGAGAGAGGGAGAGAGGGAGAGAGGGAGAGAGGGAGAGAGGGAGAGAGGGAAAGAGGGAGGGAGGGAGGCAAAGAAAATCTGTTTTCCAACACCAAAGTGTAAACTTACTTAAAATAGAGAGTATTTTGTATTTTTTTAAAAACAGCTCAATCATGCAGTTCTCAAATTTGAACTTAGCAGATGACAACACCATGTCCCATTGTCAAGAGTTTGGACATGCCTACTCTACAGGATGCATAGGCTGGGGACTAGGAAAGTCAAACTTGTTGTCTTCTTGTCAATGGCTGAAATGGGGTGTCATGTTAGAATAGAATCCTCTGAGTTGTTAATTTTCTAAATGACCACTGTCAATCCCTTCCAACACCAGTAACATTAAAATGTTGGCATGCCTGGAGAACCAAAAAAGCGTATTGTTTCCCGGTAGAAAGAGTGGATTATTCATTACAACTAAAAAGGGGGTACAGCACAGTCACCCCACTGCAGTTATATATAGTATGATTCTGGAGAAAGGGAAATACAAAATCCAGAAATCAAGAGGACCACTTGAAAATGAAAACACACTACAGATAGTTGCAGGCTGTATGCCCACCTGTGTCCATCTCATCCATGTTGCTGAGGAAGTCTTCTGGAGTTGTGGGGACACTGTAGCATCCTAGCCCCAGGCCGCTGTCTGTGCTCTGCTCCCGTGAATGATAGGGCCCTCTGCAGAAATAATAAGTAAATAAGTAAGTAAATAAATACATACATACATAATAAATAAAGGAAACCTCAATGTGAGTCTACTCAATAAAGTTCAGACTTAAAACGCAGTCAAAGGCACTGGTTTCCTTGTTGTCTCAAAATAACCATTTGGACCCTATGCTATATACAGATAGTATTTATATAAATATTTTTTAAAAACAGAAAATAGCCAGGCGGTGGTGGCGCATGCCTTTAATCCCAGCACTTGGGAGGCAGAGACAAGCAGATTTCTGAGTTTGAGGCCAGCCTGGTCTACAGAGTGAGTTCCAGGACAGCCAGGGCTACACAGAGAAACCCTGTCTTGAAAAACAAAAAAAAAACAAAAAAAAAACAAAAAAAAAAGAAGAAGAAGAAGAAGCACAAAAAAACAGAAAATAGTGCTGAATTGTGCTCACCGATCCGCACACTCATGGTAAAAGAAGTATGTATACATAGCCACTCATGATAGTCCATGGCTATAATCTCAACACTCAAAAGGCTGGGGAAAGGTCATCCAGAAAAATAGCAAAGTTCATGGTGACAGAAACATGCCACTTTCTGGAGAGTGACTGCTCCTGGGGAAAGAAGGAAGGGAGGAAGCTTAGCGGTGACAGAGATGCGCTCCAACAGAGCCCTTGAGATATAGCAAGCCTGAGTGGTGAGTACCACAGTTTTCTAAAATCTATTTGTTCATTATTCTGGCTACTTGTCTTTTCACCTCTATCTTTATTTGTATTTGTTTGCCAGGAGCCTTGTAAGAGCAGAGAAGAGCAAAACCACAATGGATATATATATGGCTGCCCCTCCCCCTCCCCTCCACTAGGTCTACAATTAAGGTTTACTGTTTCCATTGATCACATACTACTCTGGCTAAATCATCTTTTTCTTCTGCTACCACTTTTCTTTCTCTCTCTTCTAAAGCCAACATCTCTTTGTTTTAATTAATTTTTAATTATGAAATAACTTAAAACTCACACCAAAGATGCATAAAAGAACACTGTTTCTACATACCTCACACCTGGTTCCCTCAATTAAAACTCTTGCCATAAGCGCAACATAATTACCCAAGGCAGAAAATTAGCATTGTTTACTAAACTATAAACATTATTCACCTTTCACCATAAATACCTGTGAATTTTCTTGTACTGTCTGCCATGACATGCTTTTAACCCCATCTTTACTCCTAAGAATGTCAAGATTCTTCCAAGTGACTACCAAATAGCACTGTCCTGTTTAAATATGAAGTTCATACTCATGTGCAAATCACTGAAGGATATACTCCATGTCATATGAATATATTTTGAAATTGAAATATTTTTTCCCATAAAGCTTTTTTCCCCTTATTCTGTCTTCCACTCCCAACTCTCTCCCCATCCTTAAAGCTCCCTGCCTCTCCTCAGTGTAAACAAACACCCATTACCGTCTAAACCACGAGAAAGAAAGCAAAAGTCAATGGTCCCCAGTGTAAACTTACCCATTGAGGAAAGGATCTGAGCTACTGTTGGTGACAGACCTCATATCTGTGCTCATGGCAGGCGTGTTGACAGGAGCCATGGTCTCGGTTTCCATGGGGAGCTGTCGGCAGAGGGCAGCTTCCTATACAAGAGTCAGAGGGAAAGGGTCAGTTGCCACAAAGGGTTGCATCATAATACACTTCATGGGAAGACTGCTCACCGCTCACCAAACACAAAACACTATATATATATGTGTGTGTGTGTGTGTGTGTGTGTGTGTGTGTGTGTGTGTGTGTGTGTATGTGTGTGTGTGTGTATATATATATACACATTTATATATATGTGTGTGTGTGTGTGTGTGTGTATATATATATATTTCAGTAGGTCAAATTCATTATTGTCCTTCCTCCACAGTCTTAGAGGCATGTCACTCTCTTCCACTCCTAGCTAACAGAACCTAAGAGGACACTGAGCCTCTGGGCACCGACTTTGAAAACATGCACCTGCCCATGGAACTGTTAAGACACACAAGTCATATCACAGTCTCTCAAGATACTTTCTCACTGACACGTTAGTTCTGTTCTAGGGTCTCAGACTAAATCTAAAGCAATCAAAGCAACTGGACACCTCTGGATTAGCATGCACATCTGGCCTCTCCCACTTATATGCTTAGAGGGTGATGTTAATCACCAGATGAACAAAACAACCAGTTTAAAAGTTTGCTTTAAAAAAAAAATAGTTGCTCTCTGACCTTCGTGTTGCATATCATGAATGTATGTGCTGAGTGAGGTGGCTCCAAGGGTAAAGGTGCTTCCTGTAGAAGCCTAGCAACTTGAATTAAATCTCCAGGCCCACATAAGGGTGAAAGGGGAGAACTGACTCCACAAAACTGTCCTCTCTAGCCTCTACACACACTGTCCTCTAGCCTCTACATACAAGCCTTGGCACATACATGCTTATACTTATGTACACACAACATACTTACTCACATACACATACAATAATGATAGTGTTAAGTTAAAATGGCTGAAAGTTGGGAAAAATTGGAGATCCAAACAAAATCCCCTAGACAATTAGATGTTTGGTGGCTTATGGATTTTATTTTCTTAGCATTAAAACCAAGAAGAATCAGTCCAAAATGTTATAAACTTGACTGCAGTGATGGATACACTCCAAAGAGAGATGACCAGGGATCAGACCCCTTTCGAGTTAGTAGCTATTTCCAGGGAAGAATATTCTCACATGCTTATGATTACATCCAAAACCAAGATTGAGGCCTGGCCACATTTACACAATTTGCAAACTGAAGTCACTAATCTTACACCCTTAAAACTCCTAAACCATGAAAGAACATTCTAGCTATCTTGAGTTCTAGGATGTTGGTTAGATCTCTTCATGTGATGGTTAACATATTGCTGTTTAGACAGTGAAGTCACCAGCTAGAAAACTTTCAGTTCCCATGTTTGCTGTACCATTACTAGTACTGATTATGGTGGTACGACTCTTACAAACCATGAAAGGTCTGTTAAGAAACTGCACTGTTGATATGAGCAGAAATAAAATAACCTGGCAAGAAAAGGGCCCTGGTCCACTTCTGTTTATCTTGATGCAAATAATTAGAATACATTTCATTCAATAATACACAAAACAGCAAGTTTTGAAAGCACCTTCTAAATTGATCTAGAGAAATTCATTTATTTTCTTATAGCTGTCCATGCATTCTCTAGAAACTTGACTATCCAACAAGGCTTTCCTGAAAGTCTCATGCAGAAGACAAAGCTCGAATCTTGGGTGAGTGAACTTGAGACTACCACAAACTCGTCCAGGCACTCACATATGCTGAACCTTTCAGTGACTTATATTCTAGCTAATACAAGAATCCTTTATCGTCACTATCCAAAACCTATTGATTTAACTGGCAATTCACTCTTGCACGATTCAGAATAAGTATAAAACAACTGGCTTTTTTGTTTTTTTTGTCCATCCAAACTCCTTTCCATTTTACCTTTGAGACAGAATTTCACTATGTGACCTGGGTTGGCCCTGAACTTGCAATTCTTCTGCCTCAGCTTCTTGAGAGATGGGAGCCCAGATGCACCACTATCTCTAAGGATTTAATACACAACAGTTATATGTAACAGGAGCCGAGGCATGGCTGTAAAGCACTTGTTGTAGAAGCACAGAGCCCTGAGATCACATTCTTAGTGCCTATGAAAAAGCTGGATGTAGCCGTGCTCACCTCTAACACCAGAGCTTGGGGAGAAGCAGACACAGAGGCCCCTGACTAGGTCAAGAGAACCGGTATGATCCAGGTTCAGTGAAAGACTCTGTCTGAAAAACTAAGGCAGAAAGCAACTGAGGAAGATCCTTGCCTCCACACGCATGTGTGCATCCTCATTCTCTCTCTCTCTCTCTCTCTCTCTCTCTCTCTCTCTC